TTGTCCAGCAGAACGACTCGGACTTCCGCAGCCTGTGACGTACCAACAGATTTGAGACCAGTTTTGGCAGTCTCAGCGGGCGATTTTTATACTTGTGCAGTGGGGGCAGATGGTAAGCTCGTCTGCTTTGGAGACAACGCTTATGGGCGGTGTGACGTGCCAGCAGATTTGGGACCAGTTTTGGCAATCTCAGCGGACACTTCTCATACTTGTGCGGTGCGGACAGATGCTCAGCTCGTCTGCTTTGGAGACAACGAGTACGGACAGTGTGAGGCGCCAGCAGATTTGGGACCAGTTTTGGCAGTCTCAGCGGGCACTTATCACACTTGTGCGTTGCGGACAGATGGTCAGCTCGTCTGCTTTGGTGACAACGAGTACGGACAGTGTGAGGCGCCATCAGATTTGGGACCAGTTTTGGCAGTCTCAGCGGGCACTTCTCATCCTTGTGCAGTGCGGACAGATGGTCAGTCGTCTGCTTTGGAGACAACTGTGCGGTGCGGACAGACGGTCAGCTCGTCTGCTTTGGAATGAACGATGATGGGCAGTGTGACGTGCCAGCAGATTTGGGACCAGTTTTGGCAGTCTCAGCGGAACTTTGTCATGCTTGTGCGGTGCGGACAGATGGTCAGCTCGTCTGCTTTGGAGACAACGCTTGTGGGCGGTGTGACGTGCCAGCAGATTTGGGACCAGTTTTGGCAGTCTCAGCGGGCACTTATCATACTTGTGCAGTGCGGGCAGATGGTCAGCTCGTTTGTTTGGGATACAACTCAAGGAGGTCTGGCTAGTGCGGGCAGATGGTCAGCTCGTCTGCTTTGGAGACTGTCATGGGAAGTGTGATGTGCCCCAGTGCTGATCATGCAGAAAATGTCGGAGAGTGCTTACCCTCAAACCTTCCGCAGTTCAAACCGCAAATACTGCCTATCATAACCTTCAACTCTGCAATACTTTTGACCTTATTTTCAGTATTTTCTGTTGTATAACTATGTTGACTGTAATTTCCGACTCTTTCTTGTTCATTTGGTTTTCGCTTCCTAAATATCTTAACTTCGTCCCCTACATCTAGTTCAGGATATATACGCGGTTCTTTTTGCCCTTCATCGTTAAATTTAGTTTTACTTTGAATTGATTACTGGGTTTTCGGGCTTCTTTTGGCATAAATCCCGAAGAAAACCCCGATAGTCCCTGTACAATGTTCTAATGATTTAACTCAAGAGTTCAAAATCATTAGAGTATTGTTTCTTATCCTACCTTATCCCTAAACCTTATTCCTATTATGGTAAAATTATTTAAGATGACCATTTCCATTTTCAAGGGTTAAGGATTTCGGGTTGATACTATCGGGTTTTCTATGGGTGTGCAGGTGTATGGAGTTTAGAGTGGTTTTTCTATGTGGTTACCTATGGTTCTTCTAATGGTTCCATCTAGTGGGTTTTCCTATGGGTCTTGTGGTGAGGTTAGGGTTGAGGTATAGGTTGTTAAGGTTTTGGGTCTTCGGGTGAGTTATTCCTAGGGTTCTACCTATGGGTCTTGGGTGGAGTTAGGGTTGAGGTATAGGTTGTTCTGGTTTGGGTGCTAGGGGGGGTGCCATGGTTGAAAATGGAAATGGTCTATGCTAACTGTTTTAGGGGTACAGGGGTTTAGGGGTTTAGGGTTTAGGGGTTTAGGGTTTAGGGGTTTAGGGGTTCAGGGGTTTAGGGTTTAGGGGTTGAGGGTTTAGGGATTCAGGGATTTAGGGTCTCTAAGGTTTCAGGGATTTAAGGTTTAGGGGTTTGGGCTTTAGGATTTGGGGCAGTTCAGGCGCTTCAGGTTGAAAAAGGTCGTTGGTTTGGGGAACACTTAAAGGATCATGGGACTTAGCAACCAGGGCAAAAATTAAGGGTGACTATACTTCTATCTACTTATAACCCCCAATTAAGGTACTTATAACCTTACTTGCTAAGTTCCATGATCCTCCAAATAGGGTCTTCGCGCGGTGTTCGGTATTTAGGGCTGCTGGGTGATTGGGGATCCGACTCCTCATCGGGTTATGACCTAGGGGGCTCCTTTAAGAGTTCCTTTAGGGATTCCTTTAAGGGACCTAGTAAGGGATCTGTAGGGTTTGGGGGTTTAAGGGCTTAGGGTAATAGGTAGGCCTTTGGGACATTTTGCATTTGCCCTTCTTGGGTTTAAGAGGAGCTTATTTACGCGTTTCTTCAGAGGTGTTAAAGGGCCAACTCAAAACATAATCCCAAAAGCTAAAACCCAAAACTAAACCTTAAAGCCTAAAACCCTACGCCCCAAAACCCTAAACCCTCAACCCAAGCCTAAATCCTAAACCCTAAAGCCTGGCCGTCAAGGGCTTGGTGGTGCCGGTGCAGGATGAATTGCTCTTGGGTCGGTCTGTAGTAGGACCTGTAATGTAGGGGCCTTACTAATTACCTCTACTATTTCGGGGGGTTGCTTCCCATACTTATAGTATATTGTACCCCAAAACAATATTCTAATTGTTACGGCCTCTTTAGTATGATTGAAGGATTTGCCCGTCTCTCGGCTTGATTTGCGGCTTTAGGATCTAGCATATATGAGTTGGGGCCGGTTGGGGTTCAGGTTTGAATCAAGATCAAGGGGTGTTGCGATCGTTTCTCCCTTATTACCTTGGCTTTCTCGGTTCTTGTCTAGGCACCCCATCTGCTCCACAGCCTGAAACCGAAACCCTTGATGTTCTCATGTTGGCTGTTTAACATACACGTTTCAGGTTCTGATGCCCAGTTCTCTCCGCAAGGGAACAAATCAAGTTTTTCCAGCACCTCATACAGCTTTGAGCATCATGAGGAGGACGTTATCACGTAGTACGGAATACGCTGTTTTCTCTTTCTCTGTCCCTCCCTCCCTCCCTCCCTCCTTCCCTGCCTCCCTCCCTCACTCACTCTCTCTGTGTCTCTCTCTCTCTCTCTCTCTCTCTCTCTTTCTCTCTCTGTCTCTCTAGCTCTCCTACGGGGTGTACTCCAGTGCACTCCATTCAAGCCTGTCTGAACCCATGCAACAAACAATGCACAGTCTCTGTATCAGCCCAGCGATGCTGCACAGGCTACTCCGGGCTTTGAAGCGGAGCCTAGCACAGTGCTGTCGTGGCGATGCCACGTCTTTGCGGCTTGGATGCAGAATTTTGTTGCCGGGGGGTCTGGGCTGCAGGTAAATATAGTTACGTTAGGAAAGCTACCGGATCTACCCAACATCCTCAAACTTGAACACGCGCAACCAAGCCACAAGCCATTGTCAATTCATGCGTGCAGGATCTCTACGGAACCAAAGCCCGCCTCTATAGGTACAGCGACATGGTCATCAGGACCTACTGCCCAATTCCGAGGCAAGTCGGGGTGGCTTTAAAAAGGATGGTTCTGAAGCCTTGGGTGAATTGCTTCCATGGCCTCAATTTGAAAAACAGCGAGTCGCTCAGAGCCTTCGTGATATTGTTTGCTAGCTTTTCATGTGGGAATTCAGAAGCCATCAATATGACAACACCTGGCATCCCTCATACTCACATGCATGAGTTTCTGGTAGGTCTTAAGATGCTCAAAGTTACGGCTCACAGTTAACTAGTCACGACACTACATAGTACTTGCTGCTCGTGGGAGGCGCCAGAGCCCTCAACCTGAGGCCCTGATACCGAAAAGACCTACACGCCCTGTAACCACATAACTAGCCCTAAATCCTATGATGCTACGGCTGATGATACAAATCCTGCATGACCTTAATGAGTTTAGACTATGGGAAGTATGGTATGGTTTCTTTCTATGGATAGTGCAGGATTTCCTACCACCAACCCTGGGACCCTAAACCCTAAGCCTAACATCCCCAAATCGATGGCCTATAACCCTCAACCCTAAACCGCAGAAGCCGCTAAGCCCTACGCATACCCTCAACCCTATACAACCCTGTAGAATCCTATAAAACCTCATAGAACTCCGTGAAACCCTTCCCGAAGCCCTAAAAAACCCTAAGTCTTTAAGCGTCAAGGCACCCTCCTATAATGTACCCTTAGCAGCAAAGGGCCCCAAGTTAGGGGATCTGCTTTCTAGATCCTCCGGGGGGTCTGCGTAGGGTAGAATGTAGAGTTTCCTTATTAGGAATTACTATTATGACTTAGGGAAGTATCCCCCATAACAGTACATAGGACCCTCTGGGAAGGCACCATGAGGGAGCAGAGGTGCCTCCGCCCCTGCTGCCGCGGGAGACCTTTGAGGCTTTGGGACGCTTCGATCGGTTTAGGGGTTTAGGATGCAGGGTTTTGGGGTTTGGGGTTTAGGGTGTAAGGTTTAGGGTTTAGGGTTTTAAGGTTCAGGATTTCCCAAGTCCCAATCCAAAAGCCAGTAATATAGGGGCCTTAATAGTTTAGACTAGGGTTCCTTTTCATAGGGTTCTATGAGAAAGGGGCCTTATTAATTAGAATAGGGTTTTGGGGTCCATTATACTGTAATTCTATCAAGGAACCCCCGAAATAGTATTGGTAACTACTTAGGCCCCTATATTATCGCCTGCCTCACCATTACTGTAGCCGTGAGGACCTGGACGGCTCGAAAGCAGACATCCGTCCCAGTGTCGGTGCCGTCTGGGCTCAAGGCTACTCGCTTCATAGACACACGAACCTGAACCCTCATAGTAATCCTGGTCCCTAAACCCTACACCTTTAGCTTAAACCCTAAACCCTAAACCTTTAGCTTAAACCCGGCTCAGCTCGCGAGTTCTTGGAGCTTCAATCGGGGAAGCGCCACATGGATTGCAGGTTTAGGTAGTGTTGAGGACGTTTCGAGTTCGTGGCTGGGTTTCGTAATCGTGGTAACATAGGGGCCTATTAAATAATTGCCTATACTATTGGAGGGGTTCCCTAATATGATTATAGTATATATGGCCCCAACAACCCTATTCTGATTATTAAGGCCCCTTTAGTACAGCTTCGGCTAGCTTAGCGTCGGGCTTCAGGGATAAGCTCCACCCACAAGATCCCTATTTCCGCATCGGCCATGGCGACAAGGGGAACCAAACGGCCAGCGGAAGATCTCGAAACGGAGTCCCCCGACAGTGCGGAAAGGCCCGGGACAGCGACGTTGGAGCAGGTTAGCGATGTGCGGCTAGAGTTCGGAGGGAATTGCGAGGACTCCATGCCGGTGAATTCTGCTTTGCTTCGCCTGGCATCCCCTGTGTTCAACCGTATGTTCACCAGTGGCATGAAGGAAGCGCAGCAAGGCGTCATCAATGTGGATGTGGCCAGCAAAGAGGAGTTCAAAGTGTTCTACAGTTTGCTTGCTCCTTGGGCATGGAGCACCGACAAAGTCACAGAGGCAAACGTTGATTCGCTCCTTGCAATCAGTGACTATTACCAGGTGGAGATCATCAAGCAAACCTGCGAGGATTTGCTGCTTACTCTTCCGCCCAGTAGCATGCGCCTCTTCCAAGCCCGCAGGCACAGCCTCGCAAAACAGTACCAAAGGTGTATTGCTGCTCTGGCCAAGAAGAGCACGAAGGAGGACCTGGAGGTGCTCCGGTCGCAGCCGGACATCATTTTTGAATTAACCCTCGCAAAGCAAGACATTCTGGACAGGCTCACTAGTATGACGCAAAGGGTCGACCAGCAGCAGAATGATGGCGACCCGGGTGATCTTTTTGGGATTTCTTCTGATGAAATTTTGCGAGACCTTATCAGGGAGCTGCGCGCCGAATTAGAGTGATCGCAGTACTCGTCGTCAGATCTCCAAACGGAGTACACCGCCTTCGACAGTGGATAGACGCAGTTGTGGGCAGCCGCACTGACGACGCTCGGGCAGCCTGATTGAGGTAGCAGGGCCGCGCCTGAGCAAAACTCGGGCTGAGGGTTGATTGAGTCTGTTGTTGTCAGCAATGAAAGCAAGTGTCGTAGGTAACCGGTAGCACTCACTTGCAAGTCTATCTCTGACGGCGGCGATGTTAAAGATGATGACGATGGATGTTGGATGATGATGATGATGATGATAATGATGATGATGATGATGACGATGATGACGGTTCATGAAGGACAATGGCCATGATGGTGCCAAGTGATGGTGATGATGATTATTTATGATGATGATGATGACGATGATGATGAAAAGCGAACGAAAATGCCCATAAAGGCTGTATAAGGATAGTGATACCTGGCACCAGCAAGGACTTTTGGCTGTTGGGCCGTTTTCACTTGTCTTCGAGGTCCCGCCTGATGGGAAGGGCTTGGTGGCATCGTCAATTCGGAGAAGCACGTCGGGCTGAATCATTTCCAGGTCGTGATCCCGCGTTGCGAAGAAGAACTTCGTCCTATTCAATCCTCCAGCTCTCAAGCCAAGCACGAAATCTGAAAACTAAGAGGGTGTTTTCTTGACTGTTCTACATCCGCAGGCTAATCATCCCTAAGCCATGTATTTTCGTCGACTTTCCAAACTTAACGAACCCTCCTCAAACATCCTCGACTCCAAACAGAGACTGGGGTTGAAAGGCTTCAAATTTTCTATCGTGCTTGGATTTTTGGAGGGTTTGGGCTGTTGGAGTAGAACTTGCTCCTCGACCCCTACAGGCCCTAAACTCTGAAACCTCCACTCCACTTTTGAGGCTGCTGGTTTCGGGTTCCAGGGCTTTAGGGTGTTTAGGATTCAAGGTTCAGGTTTCAGGATCTCACGTTTGAGCCATACCAAACCTCCTCAATGATTATGACGGTTTTTGCTGAACCTTAAATGTAGAGTTCCGGCATCCGCTCTTAGTGTTGGGGCTGCTTCAAATCATGTGGCAACCCTTACCCCCATAAACTCTACACCATGATGAATAGCCCTTACCCTCTTTTGACCCTGAGTGTTCCTGGGGCCCCCACAGTCATGCCGAAACCCAAGTCAGACTATGTTGGATTGTTGAGAGTTGATGAATTAATTAGGGTGGTGGGTTTAGTTGGGGGCTTGGCCCGCGCAGTTTTGCGACCGGCAAAGAGTACTGTGTAGATGCCAACTGTTTGTTGAGGTGTGGAACTTCAATCGGGCAGGGTCATATCGCACGTATGCGCAACGACTGCAAAAGTCGGTTGGCCAGAGAGCCCAATACGCCTCAGTTAAGGAATATAGCTTAAATCATAATATGAAGCCCTACATAATTTAAGCCATATTCCCGAAATAAGGGGTATTGGGCTCTCTGGGTGTGTGCCTGGGAATGTCGAGATATTTGCTTCATGGCTAGGGTTAGTCTCACAAGATTAGGGTGTTCTACATGATGAAGAGACGGCTCCAGCAAGCCTGATCGGTTCGCAAAAGGTATGCTTATTGCACTGCTCGTGATTCTAAGCAGTTTGGCGTACCTCTGAAAGATTGAGTCGCAAACTTCAACAAAGACCTCAATATTCAGTTTCAGCATTCGCTCTTCTAAGGTTTGCAGGCTGGGCATGTCTTTTTGCATTGGTTCGCCTGAGCACTGGCCAACGAAGTAGCAACGGTGTTCCAACATGAGTTCTCTATTCATCACATATTACAGTGTAGCTCCAAACCCGACTGGCCACCATGGAGAGGGGAACCAAAAGAACAGCAGAGGACGTGCAGCTGCAGGCGGCCGACGAGGGCAAGACGCGCGAAGCGGCCAGTCTAGAGCCTTGCCTATGGTTAGTAGGGAATGGAAGAATGGTAGTAATAGTAGTTATAATTTTATTCCATTCCTCCATTCCTTACTAACCAAAGGTAAGGAGCAGGTCGGCGATGCGCATCTGGAGTTCGGGGAAGATTCTGAAAAGCTCCATGCTGGTCAGCTCTCATCTGCTCCGGGTGGCTTCTCCTGTATTTAACCGCATGTTCACCAGCGGCATGAAGGAAGCGCAGCAAGGCGTCATCAAGGTGGATGTGGCCAGCAAAGAGGAGTTCAAAGTTTTCTACAGTTTGCTTGGTCCTTGGGCATGGAGCACCGACAAAGTCACAGAGGCAAACGTCGACTCGCTCCTTGCAATCAGCGACTATTGCCAGGTGGAGATCATCAAGCAAACCTGCGAGGATCTGCTGCTTAATCTTCCGCCCAACGCCGCTCGTCTCCTGCAAGCTAGCAGGCACGGGCTTCAAAAACAGTACCAAAGGTGCATGAGCCACGTGGCTAAGCAGAGCACTAAGGAGGAACTCAAGATGCTCCAACATTCCGCGCCGGACAATGCTGTTCGAGCTGGTCCTCCAAAAGCAAGACACATTGAACCGGCTCATGGGGATGAAGAGTGAGATCGCCAAATGCAAGGCTTCTGTCGACATGTCGGGCCCCTATGTTGTTGGATTTTTTGGAGAATCAATGCCGATGAGCGGATAAAGGCTCGGCCGCAACTGCAAGGCTCGCTTGAAAGGCTTCTCACGGAATTGGACAGATCGAAGCAAGGTCGTTGGATCTCTAGACGGCAGCAGTTGCAGGCAGCTTCCTGGCATAGCAGGCCAGGACCTTTTGCTGGGCCATGATGAACTGCCAGGTACATGCCTTAAAAGGTCACTGCAGAACAACGAAAACGGATGCTTGGTTGGCTTGCCACTTGGAGACTAGCGCAGGAGGGACTCGGAAATCCGCTGAGGTCATAGCTACGATCTTCATTCTGCCGGGATGCGCTGCAACTGCGCCGACCCCACCGCCCCGCCACAGCAGATACAATCAGTCGTGGGCAATGGCAACAAAGAGGGGCGTGCAGGCCGAGGTAGCATTGCCGTGAAATAGCAGTTTCCGAAAATAGGGGACCCTAATATAGCACCCTAAATAGTAGGATCCTTGTTATAAGGACCCCCAAATAAGGTACCCCCCCTATTTTCGGAAACTCCAAAATAGCAGTAGCAGAACATGCGGCTCGGCTTGTAGTGTAGAGGTCCTTTGTCTTCGGATTGTGGGATTTCAGATCTTGGGGGCTTAGGACCTGCGATTTACTGCTCTTTCTACTCCTTGACGCCTTATAATGAAAGCTGCACTGTCTGGGATTTCTTATTTGGGGCTTAGGACCTGCGATTTAATATTCCTTGAAGCCTTATAATGAGAGCTGCACTGTCTGGTCCAGTGGGCTCAGCCTGTATGACAGGCAGGTCTACTTTGAGATTTATTAGCTGGGCCACCCATGACTCAGTTCCCAAGTGCGAAGTTGTCCCGGTGTGTGTTGGGTCTCCTAAACCAGCCCTCCAAAACCCTAAGCCCCACCTGATTCTGGATTGTTTAGGGTATGCCCTTCAAAACGGAAGACCCCTAGCCTTAATCCTTAAATCGCAAAGACCTATGCCCGTAAACAGTGCTTGAAACGGAAACAGCCTCAGGACGAAACATAACCCCATAAATCCTTATAGAATCCACAAGCCCCTTCTTCCGCGACACAGTTCGTAACGTCCGAACAATCGCCATGGAGCCCTATAGAAATCTCCATGCGCAAAAGCCAAAAGCAGGCGGTGCTCCGGCGTTTGCTTCCCCAAATGGACCCAGCAGATTTGGCCACTTTCGGGGCGCTCTTCCAGGAGCTCGTTGGGGGTTTCGAGGGTTCAGGTTGAGGTTTCGGGGTTTAGGGTTTAGGATTCAGGGTTTAGGGTTCAGGGTTTAGTAATTTAGGCTTTAGGGTTCAGGGTTTAGGCTATAGGGTTCAGGGGTTTAGGGTTTAGGGTCCAGGGTGTAAGGTTTCGGGGTCTGGGGCGGCAGGGTTTGGGGTGCAGGGCTTGATCCTGATCTGGTAGGTTTAAGCACGTGAATTGCGTTTGGTAGGGTCTTGGGTATGAGATGACGCGGCTTTCTCGAATCAGGGGTTGACGGCTTTTAAAAGGGCGCAGTTATAGTGGTTGAAGCTTTCGAGATTAGTAGGGCCTCGATCTTGGATTTGGGCTTCTTGGTCTGGTGATTGGGATTTGGTGTTTCGGGCTATGGGCTTGCGGTTCAGGTTGAAGAACACAGGTGCCGGTCGAGGAGAATCTTCCTTCCGAGAGTCCAGAGACCCTAAATTCAGTATCTTCCCGTTACGCAGACCCGCGGGAGGATCCAAAAAGTAGATCCCTTATTATGTGAGTTCCTATAAAGTATCCTTGGTAGTATAGGGCCCCAAATGAGGGGTCTACTTTCTAGATCCTCCCGGGGGTCTGGGTAATCGGAATAGGAAGCCCTACACAAGCTAGTCCAACCTGCGCAGCACACGGCATCGGATTTTGATAGCCCTATATGGCCCTATATGCCCCGAAGCCCGACCAAGTCCCTCACCTGACCCCACAAACATGAAAGCCAACCACTTTGCATAATCCACGAATCTTGAAGTGCTAATCCCCAAAACCTTGACAGGAGACGGTCTCAACGCCAAACCCTGAAGCCTCATTGGGTGATTATATTGCCTACTTTGGGGGGGCTTAGGCAAGCCCCAAGCTCGAAGCCCTAAACCTAAAGCCCCACACCCTAAACTGCCCTAAACCTGTAAGACCCCACCTTGACGGGGCACATAAGCCAGATGTCTTGGAGCCCCAACCCTAAAACCCCAAACCCTGAGCTGCCCTAAACCGTACGATTCACCCCCAGCCCCTAGCTACCCGAGCACGGTGATTTCCCGGTAGACCCTAAACTCTGAGCCCTAAACCGCTAAACCCTAAGCCCCTAAACCCCTAAACCCCTGACCCTATAGACCCTAAGCCCCTGAACCCTAAACCCCGAAACCCCTAAACCCGACACCCTAAGCCCCGAAAGATCCCTTTAAAGGAACCCTTATAGATCTCTTTAAAGGAACCCTTATAGATCCCTTTAAAGGACCAACCCTGAACCGACGAGGACCCGGTCCGAAAGGACTGCGTCGACTACCGGGCCTTCCTGCAGGGACTCCAGGCAGAGCTTTGGAGAGCTTGGGCTTGGGCTTGGGGGGTTAGGGGTTCCTTTAAAGGGATCTATAGGGGTTCCTTTAAAGGGATCTATATGGGTTCCTTTAAAGGGATCTATAAGGGTTCTTTTAAAGGGATCTACAAGGGTTCTTTTAAAGGGATCTATAATCGGGTTTGGGGGTTTGGGGTTTTAGGGTTTAGGGTTAAGGGGCTTTAGGGTTAAGGGGCTTTGGGGTTTAGGGTTTAGGGGTTGAGGGTTTAGGGGTTTAGAGGTTGAGGGTTGAGGGTTTAATTCTTTTGGTCTTTTGTCTTGAATAGAGGTTGGTTACAGCGGTTCGAGATCGAGGGATCTAGGTGCCAGGGAACGCTAGGCTGAAGCAAATTGGGTCCTCCCGGAGTTTCTGCATCGAGGTTTGGGAACCCTAAGCCCTAAACCTTCGGGAGGCCGTGTTCCGATAGTGTGACGCAAGACCCAGAGAGCCCAATACCCCTTAATTAAGGAATATGGCTTAAATCATATAGGGCTTCATATTATGATTTAAGCTATATTCCTCAATTAAGGGGTATTGGGCTCTCTGGGGATGCCACTGAAAGATGTCGTTGTGTGAGTTGCTTCTACGCGCTGCAGCAGCCGGCTCCAGCGTCACTATGGCAGTGCGAGCCTTCTGGTTTGGGATGTAACGTGTTCTTAAGTTATGTGTGCAGAGAGAACCTAGGTAGCTGCCGCCGCAAAGCATCCAGTCTTAGGGATCTGGGTGCAAGTATTGGACTAGATACATGACTTGGCTCAGGACGCAGGATATGGGATCAACAGTGTTGCTGGACATCATGAAATTTTGCTAGGCCTGCATGGATGAGGCAGGATTCTGTCTATCAGCAGCAGTTTGCCAGCCTACCATGTTACCCAGTAGTAATTACTCCTTTGCCCCTTTTATTCAGGGCTCCCCTACTACAACTGAATAATAAACCAGGAAGAAGGGATACCATTATTACTAAGTAGACCCTAGCCCTAGCTTACACGTCTAGCGAGTGGCCACTCTCTTCTTGCATCGCGCGCCTTAGAGGGAAGCTCCTGCGTGCAGTTTTCTTTTTAGAGCCTATTTTAGGGTTCCCATTTTAGGCCAAGTTTAGGGTTCCCATTTTAGGCCAATTTTAGGGTTCCGAGAGTAGAACCGAATTGTATGAAAAGGGGTACCCTTTATTATAAAGGGTAACTCAGGAACCTAGAGCTGCAATGGCAGAAGTGGTGGCGGAATATCTGTGTAATGCGACTTGGCAAGACAGCTCCAAGGGTTCGAAAAGAGGGCTCAGAGGATTAAAGGTGCCTTAATGAGCACCTATACTTATAGTACCCTTATAGCATCCCTTAAAGGAGCCCTATTCTAATTATTAAGGCCCCTATATTAGGGTCGATTGCACGGGGCTTTGAGGGCTTGAAGGGTTTTTATGGCTTTGTAGATGTTTCATGCCTTGGGTGAGTTGACCGGGTTGGGGGCAGGGTGTATGGTTTACAGATGGCACCAATTCGATTCTGTGTTCGATTGTGATTGAGGTCATCAGAGTACGACACTCTACTGCAGATCTAGAGCAGATGCCCAGAACTTGAACCCTTGTAGCAACCCTTATGGTATCAACATTGAGCCACTATTTACCATCCTTGAAACTCCTTGAATACCATAATATGCCTCCCTTACGCTGTGGAGTTTACCCTGAACCCATCCAGACCCTACTTGGAGGATCATGGGACTTAGTAAGGTTATAAGTACCTTAACTGGGATATAAGAAGTTCTAAGTATAGTTGCCTTAATTGTAACCCTAGTTACTAAGTCCCATGGCCCTTTAAGTAAAGTCCGAAGCCCTAAACGCTGAAACCGAGGAGTCCCAAACGCATACCCTGACACAGAAGCTGACACCAAGAACTGCGAGTTAATATCAACGGCAGTTAATAATTACTATGTTGGGGTTCCTCACTATAAGTCTAATATAATGGCCCCCAAAACCCGATTCTAATCAATAAGGGTCCCATCGTGTGACACCAATAACTACGAGTCAGTACGCACTAGTCACTAAAGGCTAGGCTACTTACCGTCTCCACTGCAGTTCTTTTCGTGGTTAGTCTTTAGCTTCGTAGTTAGGAGCCTGTAGGAAAAGTTTCATATCTGCAAAGGCGAGGGTAACTGCAACGGAGGCTAGTAGACCCGAAACGATGATCCTGCTAAGCCCTAGGCCCTAAATCCTCGAATCCCTTAACCTTAAACCCTTACGCCCTAAACGATAAACCTCTACACCCTAAACCCCTAAACCCTACAACGCCAAACCCTAAACCCCTAAACACCAAACCGTTTAACCCTGAACCCCTGAACTCCTAACCCTTAAACCCGTAAACACTACACCGATTAACCCCAAACCCCTTAACCCTAAACCCCTTTCGCCCTAAACCCTAAACCCTTAAACTCCAAATCCTAAGCCCGAAACCCTGAGCCCTCAAGCCTTAAACCCTTGAACCCTGCCTTAGACCCTAAATCCTTAAAGCCCTAAACCCCTTAAACCCCTAACGCCCTAAACCCTAAACCCTAAACCCTTAAACCCTAAATTCTGAAGCCCTACGTAACCCTTAACTCCTAAACCCCAAAGCCCTCATCCTTTCGCAGCCCAAGGTCCTCGGACTGGTGGCGGAACTCCGCGAAAAGATCCAGGCAGCTTTGTTTACCATGTGGGTGCTTAAAATTGCTTAGGTAGGGTGCCTTAATGAAAGGGATCTATAGGGGTTTAGGGTTTAGGGGTTTAGGGCACCTTTTTGTGTACCCTAAATCTTATATAGGTGCCGTATTACAATGCGGACCCAAAAAGGGACCCTAATTTTGTCACCCACTTATGTACCTTTATAGTATATACTTAAGCCTTAAAGGGGTCCCTATATAGGCAAAATGGGCACATGGGGCCTTAGGATCCAGAGGGTCCAAGTACCGAAATACTAGGGCTTCAGGTTCCAAAATCCATAGTCTGAGTGGTTTTTTGAACCTTGGAACCCTACTATTTTGGTACTTGGACCCTGGGGGATAGAGAGCCTGAAAAATTCATTGCGTCGGTGATCATCTGCATCATCGTGCAAACAACAATAATGCCACAAGTGTTCCTTCGAGTTTCTCGGTATGTATATATATATATATAATATATATATATATATACATATAATCCAGCACACCAAGACCGTAGTCTGCGTGCTCGAGTTCCTATGACTTGAGCTGCATTCCTTTCAGTGTCTAAGACTTGCTGTTGTTTCTTCCCAAACTGCAGATCCTGATTTCCTTTAGCTTCAAAGTTTAGATTTAGGTTCAACTTCCTAACGGAAGACCTGACCCCTGCTCCATCGAGGAAGCTTTCTGGCTCTTGCAGGGAAGGGTCCACGTGCCTGAATTGTGTGATATACTTATGCCTTCTATATGAGTACTTTCAGGCCCACGTTTTTGGCATCAGAGGACCGGAACCCTTAGCACTTACGGAAGAAGCCGGAAGAGTGGATCATGGCATGACTGCACGCCATAAAGCCACAGAAACTCTAAGCCCTAAGCCGCTGTATCGAGCCACGACCCTGCACCCTAAAGCGCAAACCCAGACCTCCGCTGACACCAGAAAGCGCTTGCAAAGTCTTAGACTTCTGCTAATGTAGGAACCTGATTAAGAAATCCTGGTCCTGTAACCCCAATATATTAGGATCCATTTTAGGAACCCTAGCAATGCCCCAAGGTTTCTTAATGAGGTTCCTACATTACAATGTGCCGAACATACCGCCAAACGCACGAGACCCTATTGTGAGTTTGAATGCCTCTATGTCATGCAACCCTTGTCGAACCCCCACAGTAACCTTCATATCATAGAATTCTAGAACCCTTTGAGGAACCGCTTAAAACGAGCCCTAGTCTGATAGCAAAGTCCCATATATTATGCCGGCAGAGTCACAGCTTCCCCTGCGCAGGCTACTCTACAGTCGACCTGCCACGCGTGACTTTGACGAAGATCTGCTTCGTTGCTGGGGATGTGGGACTTTACGGTTTAGGGTACGGTGGCCTTGAAGCTTATAAGGGGTCAGAGTTTTGGGCCTTCGGGTTTAAGCTTCCGGACTTAGTTAGGTCTAAGCTAGGGTTGAGGGTCTAGGATTTTGACCTTGGGGTTTCGCGGTTCATAATTCTGGGGTTTGATTAAGATACAGTTTTTTCTGGGGGGGGGGGGGGGGGGTCGGATGTGTGCGGTTTAAGGAGCTAAGGTTTGAGGGTTTAGCTTATAAAACTATAAGTTCCAAATAACAAACCTTTTTACGGACGTATTAAAAAACAATCATGTTAGGGTTGTTTGGTAGGTTATTTGGGGTCCAGGTACGGTCTAGGATTCAGGGGTTCTTGGCTGAGGGAGCCCGGGCGACGGAGGTGGAAGGCTGTACTGGGAGTTAGTATTTGGGGTTTAGGGTTCAGTCTGTAGGGTTTAGAGTTAGTTCAGGGTTTAGGGTTTAGAGTTAGAGTGTCTTTAGGGTTTAGAGTTAGTTCAGGGTTTAGGGTTTAGAATTAGAGTGTCGTCTGTATATGCCAGCTCTGTATGTTCAACCCCTGAGACCCGCAAGCCTAACACATATACCTCTAAGACCGAAGACCCTCAAAGCACGAAAGCCGTATCTCTTGACCGAGGCTCTTGGCCATTCCAATTCGATCCTGGTGCATCGAATCACGGCAATGCCACAAGACCTGCACCTCGTCCTGGTCTTGCACAATAGCGTTTTTTGTGCATCCCGACGTAGCTTTGGCGTGTCCTGCTGGTGGTTCTCAGCCCAGAAGAGAGCGGGTCCAAGTACCTAAATGGTAGGGTTTTAGGTCCCAAAGTCCATACTCTGAACAGTTTTTGGACCGTGAAACGCCACTATTTGGATACTTGGACCCTTAGGCAGGGTTTCATGGAATCCGGGGTTGTCAGGACTGAGCGTACTGAGGAAACTTGATTTTAGCTTGCCTTTTCAAAGCCAGGCCGTGGGATGAAAGGGTTGGGTCGAAGGTATGGGAGTTTGCAAAAATTAGGGGTACCTGAGGGTCGCTTTAAAGGGTTACTATAAGGGATCGATCTATAAGGGTTCTATAATGGGGATTATGGTAGGGAGTTTCCGAAAATCAGGGGTACCTTGTTTTAGGGTCCTTATGATAAGGACCCTACTATTTAGGGTACTTTGTTTAGGGTTGCCTATTTTCGGAAACTTCCGTAAACGAACCAGGAAAGCCTAGAACGCCCTGCTGAATGAAAGGGCAGCTTGCACTTAACCGAGAAGACAAACCCCCAATCCCTACACAATCAGATTCACAGGGGCCTTAAACCCTAAACCCTAAGCCCTGAAACCCCTAAACCCCTGAACCCTGAAACCCTAAGCCTTGAGCCCTAAACCCTTAAACCCTTAAACCCTGAAACCCTAAGCCCTAAACCCTAAGCCCTTAAACCCTTAAACCCCTGAACCCTGAAGCCCTAAACCCTTAAACCCCTAAACCCTAAAACTCTTGTTCCATCGGCTGGAGCCTTTCAGTGTTGAATGGTTTCTGGGCCTGGCAACTGAGTCAGAATCATTACCCCAAGGGTCCAAAGGACCCGATAATGAGGTACTCGATTTGTCCAAAGGACCCAATAGGGTTTAGGGTACAGGGTTGAGGGTTTAAGGTATTGGGCTTAGGGTATAGTATAGTGTTTGGGGTTTGGGGTTAGGTACTCGGTTTTGGGATAATAGTTATGGATTCTGGAGACTATATGATTACTGGGTACTCGGACCCTTGGGGTTATCGTTCACATCTTAAAGGGCCTTGTCTGGTACAAGGCCTTCCACGCATAGTCCACAGAAAGTAGCAGTTCCGACCCAAAACCCTCCCTCTGAAAGAAAGGTAAATAAAACCCTTAGCCCTTGAACCCATGAATCCTTTCTGTAGTCTCAACCCATAAACCCTGTGAGTTTGAAGGGTTTGGGGTTTAGCCTCCGGAGCATTACGACGCACTCGCACAGTTGGCAATGACTTTCTAGCCGTCGGATGCAAGAGTTTTAAGATCTGGTCAGCAGGGTCCCTGGTCGATGGCTGGCTTCAAGGTTTAAGGATATGCTATGTTGAAGGACATGGTTTAGGGTTTGAAGTAGGGCCCGTAAGTGTTTCGGTCCGGAGCTAGTTCCATCACACCCGGGAACACAGATCTTGCCCGAAGAAAACTAGGAGAGTTCTTTGCTAGGCTCCCAGTGGGGTCCTGATGCCACATCCTCCGAGTCCACGAGCCGAGTCGTTAGTCGGATTGTGGTTTTGGACTGTATTCCGTGACAGCCACTATGTGGCTCAAAGGCAGTCCTTCCCTTTCCTCGGGTTGTACTCTAGGGTTGAAGGTTTGTGGGTTTGTAGGCTTTTCGGCCTTATAAGTTTTAGGGTTGCAGGCTTCTGGTGTTCAGGGTTGTAGTCTCCAGCGCTTCGCAGGAGACCCTCAGGAAGTCTGGCGATCAGAGGCACCACAAGCGAGGGAGGCGCGAGTGATGGCCAATCTCCGCAATGATCTCTAGTCTCCGTTCAGGATGGCATGGAGCGGAGCCCCAGCGCTCAGACAAGTGGGTCATCATGGTGAAAGGTCCGGATGGCTTCCGCGAGATCGTGGTGGACCGCAGGTGGCGGACAGGACTGAGCACCGGCGAGCTCGGCCCCGAGAAGACCGGCTGTCGACAAAGTTTTTAGAAGCGAGCCGAGGCGGGACATTTTTATCGGTGGCGTGCTGGCCGGGCTGATCGCTGGGCCACCCGTTGCCGCCTCGACCACCGTGTGTTGCGGAGCCAGCGTGTCCTGGAGAGTGAAAAACTGAAGGGTCGGCCGAGTGGTCGCTCAGTCCTGTCGCACCTTTTGTCGCATGCGAGATGTGCGCTGGCGCACTGATGGTGCGCTGATGGTGCATGGGAGGTGCATGGATGAGGTTCCTTACGGTTTAGGGTTTGGGGTAAATTTAGGATTTACCTTAACCCCAAATTACCTACCTTTTTCGGGGCTTATATCAAGAAATCATATTCGGGAGCCCTAAAAAGGTAGGTTCCTTACAGTTTAGGGTTTGGGGTAAAAGGTAAACCAGCTGCAAGCAGCGGCTCTGCCCGGAGGCCTATCGATCATCACTTCTCGAGGCTCAAGTGCTGACAGTTGGAGAACATGGCAGAGCAAACCCCACCTGGACCCTAATGAACCTACCCTTTTAGGGCCCCCTAATATATGGTTTCTTTTTATAAGTCCCTAAAAAGGTAGGTTATTTGGGGTTAAGGGTTAAGGTAGATCCTAAAACCCTACACGGCAGAGCCCTGAATCAAAGAGCCTATGCTCCGACAAAACAGACCCTCCGGGCAGACGTAAGGAGGCGTCAGCTCCAAGAGCCTATGCCAGACCTTAAACCAGCCTTAACTCCCTAAACCCCCAAACCCCAAACCGAAACCCCAAACCATTCCAAATGCCTACACTCAAAACCCATAAACCCATAAACCCCAGCGAAGCAAAGGCATGCTGCGGAGCTGGTACCTGCAGACTGGAGATCGCCAGTTCGATCGCAGCCGCCGGACGCCTATTTTTGGAGGAGCTCGAAACACGTCGTTAATTCTCCCAATCACGGTCCCTTCGTCCCAAGTAAAGTATATGGGGCACCTCTATGCAAAGGACCCAAACAACCAAGTGTCGGCGTAAGGGGCCGTAGACTGTGCACTCACATAGTCGGGGCTCTTCATTGCGTCCCCGGTTGTGAAACTACCAATACGCCCGAAGATCCAACGGGCTTGTCAGGCAGGCTCTTAGCAACATCGAGCGGACTTGTATGACCAGAGTGTTTTGAACAGGACTCAGAGGGGGAGAAACGGCAGTCTGGGCTGCGCTTTTGTGTTTATTGAGTCCATGCCGTTTAAATCGAAGTTTGGGTGTTCGACGTGTAAAGTTTGGCTTATCGGATGTTGCTACAGGCAGAGCAAGCTTGACACTAACCAAGTGTAGGATGAGATGTATGCATAGTTCACAAAGCATCTGGTACATCTGTCGTGTTTGTCAGGTAGGCCCCAGATCCCGTAACCAATAGTTTAGGCAACCCTGTTTGCAATTTGCTCGCCGATTCCCACCCCATCAGTTCAGTGTGCCGGCATCTCGAAACCCAATAATCAACGCCTTCACCGCGGTTGTTGTGTAAGGTGCTCCTGAGCGTAACCCTATACGACCCCCCAGAAGCATGTAACTTTGTAATTGTTATAGCCAAACCGGGCCAAACCAGGGTTAGATTCGGTTAGATCAGACCCATCCCCGCTGTCTCGGAAGTAGTGATTGACGTTGAAGACGTCAGCTGTCAACCAATCCAACAGAACATATGCTACCTGCAATCTGCAACGCCTTTCCGTCGTTGATGATCCTGGGTCTTTACAGTGGGATCCTAGTCCTAGCCACAAAGCTGGCCAGCCGCAGATCCTCGAAGGAGCAACCCTGATCCCAAATGGTCCTAATTAGACTCTTAAGAACCCGTAGTAGCTCTCCCCTCCAACTCTTGTAGAAACCTATGTTGAACCGTTATAGTAACCATTCAGAGGAACCCTTCTGGAATCTTAAGCCCCACCTAAAACTGACCTACTTGAGGCCACATCATAGACCTTAATACGTTCGAGTTTATAGGGGCGCTACAAAGCAGTAGGTTTTGGTAGTTCAACCTGTATTCAGATGCTCCAGATCCTTTGCAGGCTTCAAGGAACCCCTTGTTGAATCAACTTTCGCGTTTTACAGGAGTCCTAGCAAAGCGAGACTTCTAGAACCCTCAACCCTAAACCCTCAATGCCGAGCCCTAAACCCCACACCCCACATTAAGGTCCCAAAGATCAACCCCAAACCGCCTAAACCCTTAAACAACGGAAAACTCTAAACCCTAAAGACCCCATGTTACGGCTGGAAATCCCAAACTAAACCTTAATTAAAGCCCAAAACCCTAAACCCTGTACCCTACATTACTCGGAGGCTCGGGGGCCTTAGTCCATGGTTATTTTAAGGACTCACAAGTATCATAATTCACCCTAATTGGAGTCCTTTTTGGCGTACTTATAAGTCTATATACTTATTACCTACTAACGAAGTGCCCCGACCCTGTGAAGGTACCCTTACAAGGAACCCCCTATAGATCCCTGCAAAGGAGATTCAAATCTACAAAATGCAAGTTCCCAAAGATCCTCGGAGGCTTCCTTATTTTAGGGACTTATAAGTATCATAGCCCCAATACGGTTGATGATATAAATCCTGCATTACCCATAATAAGGAATATGCCATAATTCCCATAGTTTAGGGTCCTTGAGGTAATGCAGGATTTCTATCATCAACCGTAGGAGTCCTTTCTGGGGTACTTATCAGTCTACTCTTTCGATCCCGTTAAGGAACCTCAAACCGGGACCCTAATACTACATCCCTATAGATCCCTTTAGAACCCTTTAAGGATCCCTTTAAGGATCCCTTTATAGAACCCTTTAAGGAACCCTTTGAAAAGGGTACTCAGGATCCTCAGAAGCTGCCAGGTTGCGGCGGCCGCTGCGTAGCCTGGGACTTGTCCAAGAAGGCGGCGAACGCTATGGCTTTAGGGTTTAGGGTTTAGGGTTTAGGGTTTAGGGTTTAGGGGGTTTTCTTCTGGATTTGATGGGTGTCTGTAAGGTTTAGGTTTCCAGATGATAGAGGGGTTCAGGTTTTGAGGGTTTGGTATTTAGGGCTTTACGGCCAGCTTCTACTTTGAGGATCAGTAGGGAAGTAATACCTAAATCTTGAACATGGGGGGCTCAGCAACTGCTTTATGAGTCTGGTTGTGGGGTCTAGGTTGGTCAACTTGAGTTGTGATTCTTGAAACTCTCATTTCAACCAACTCCCTAAGGGTCCAAGTAGTCATTGTTTATGGTTTTTGGTACCTAATAAGGCCCTAAAGTCCTATAGTAGGGAGTACTTGGACCCTCTGGGACTTGCTAAGTGCCCTGAATCCCAAGCCGGCCCCGAACCCAATGCTTGCACTGTGGCAGGCTTGAAAGCATCTTAGAGTAAACCATGATGTACTAGACTCGGCGATACGATGCTGTACTGTAGCATACCATACACATATTCACTACTTGCATGGCGGTTTTCTTGATTCTACACACTTCAACTTAGCCGTTTGCTTGCTTGCAGCGTCGATCATCGCTGTGCGCTCTGCACGCAGGAAACAGGTGAAAGCCTCTGTAAATGTTGCGGCCTTCACATTCAGTTTTAGGTGTTCGTAACACTTCGGCGCTGAGGAGGGGCATCTTTAGTTCCGATGGTTTCCAGGGACTCGTTTTTGAGACTGAAGATGCAACAATATTCGGCGAAAAAAGGCTGAAGAGTGTCATTCTATCAAGCCTTACTAAATTCGAGAGGCGCTAACTACGCCAACAATTGGGGGTTGGGCTATCACACCTAAATAGGAATCCTAACGCTTGGCATATCAATGCTACAAGCCATACGGGAGTTTCCGAAGATAGGGGACCCCAAGAAAGTACCTTAAGTAGTAGGATCCTTATCATAAGGATCTCAAAATAAGTAACCCGATTTTTCTGAAACTCCCATACCTGTATGCCAGAAACCGTACCTTGCTATGCAAGAAGGAGCCCGGAGCTCGCAGGTTTCTCTAGTGCCGAAACAGGGGCCTTATTAATTAGAATAGGGTTTTGGGGCCCATGATATTACAAATATCATAAGGAGACCCCAAAATAGTATAGTAGGATTCAGGTAGACCCGAATAAACGCATAAATCCTTCAGAATCCTTACAGAACTTAGGTGTGCAGTAACAGTAGGTCTGAACCTTGAGCCTCCTCAGTAGGCCGGTGGCCTTTTCGTGGAGACGGAGTTTTGGCATGGATACAGGCCCCTTCTTGGTTCTTTCCTAAGTTCATCTAAGAACTTATCTCAAGGTCTAAATATAAGGATTGTTTGGGGCTCTAGCTTTATGGGTTATGGGTTTTCCGACACCCCCCATCTACCCTTTTTGGAACCTAAGTGCCCAATATTAGGACCGTAAGTACCCTAGTAAAGGGTACGTTTGTAACCTGTAGTATGGCTGTCGTACTTGGGGCTCGAGGCGTGGGGATTAGGCCAGAGAGGCAGCGCGCAAATTTTCGAGCGTGAGACTCTACGTTGAGTGGCTTCCTGACATTCCTGAGTGATGTTCGCATTTTGTTTGTGGGTTAAATCAAAACGCACTGCAGCATGTTATAGTCATAGTTATAGTGAGAGATATTTCTACTACGATCGGTTGCAATATTTTTGCTAATTTCCTCGTCGCGTTTTTTAACTGTAGTAAGGGCTTTGCCTCGGGAGTCGGATGAGGTCACAGGGCAACAACTCTCTCAGAAGCCCAAGAGCAATTAGAGCGTGCGCTGTGCCCTTAGGCCCAAAGACCTCGGATGTACTTGGAGGATCATGGGACATAGTAAGTATATAGTAATTAGTACCTTAATTGGGGTTATAAGTATAGTTACCTTCATGAAAACCCTAGTTACTATAAGTCCCATGACCCTTTAAGTACAGCTTTGAACCGGTCTGAACCCACAAACCGTAAGCGTTATATGAGGATGCCCAGGTGTACTCCTGTTCAGCATCTGCGGAGGAATTGATGAGTCTGGGGCCCGCCCAAAAGCCTTAAACCCCCTGAAACCGAACCCTAAAGCCCCCCGGCGGGGTTCGCCAGGTTCCGACGCTCCCGAGACGTCGACATGTCGATCCTCGGGGAGAGATTCTGCATTTATTGGGGTGTAGAGGGTTGGGGATTAGGGTTTAGGATGTGTATAGTGGCTTAAAGAGGTATAATATAGGGCCTAATAATTAGTTAGCTACATCATTTTGGGGTGTCTTGTCATAGTTACAGTATGATGGGGCCCAGGGCCTACTCTAATTATTAAGGCCCCTACATTAGCAGGTTGGATGTGCATTTGCATGAACTCCTTTGGGTTCAGGTCGTGTCAAGGGTTTCCTAAAAGCATCAAATGCATTTTTGTGCATGTGCGCCACATGGGGTTTTGGCATTCGATTCATGTCATGTATCTTTGAGCCTGCATCCCCGAAAGCCTACGAAGGCTTGATACAGTCAAGGCTTCCAGCTTGCGGCTAAGGGTCAATTGTTTAGTAGTATTGACAATCAGCGATACTATTGGTACGATGAGAAGAGCTTCAGCAGACAGAGTTGCACCTTCCCATCATCATGGAGCAGCAGTCGTGGTCTTGCAGCCAGGCAATCTCGGCTCGACTCATTATAAAGACTATGCCACTATGCCAAGAAGACACTCTATAGTAGGGCTAAGGGCTTATGAAAGTACAACTCTGAGCAACTGGCCCTACAACCCCAGGGTCTGAAACTTTAAAAATCTACGAAACCCTTAAGCATCTACATCCTTAATCCCCAAGCCCCCGGTGTCCTGAGTTGTAGATACCCTTCGAGGAGCACTCTCGCCGTTGTCCTTTGGCCGGACGGCGCAACATGCAGGAGAGCCTGGGTTCTACTCTCCTGGACCTGCCGGTTCATTTAGCCAAGTTCAGGGCTGTAGGGGTTTAAGCCTCTAAAAGGGGGCTTTAGGAGCCGAAGGGGTTGGGCTAGGGGCTCCTTGAAAGGGACCTTTAAGGCAAAGGTGTAGGGTGGGTTTAGGGTTCAGGGTTAGGGACTGAGGCGGAGTCTTGTGGAAGGTTCTGGCTTCAGGTTTCTTCAGAGATGAAGTGAGCACGTGTCGTGTCGGGCAATGCTTCGTGCGGGCGGAGGAGCCTTGAAACTTGACGGGTGGTTCCAATCTCTACTCCACTCCTTTTGTTTTCTGGAATCGGAATACCCTAATGCCACGACCAAGCAATGAATGACTCGAGTTCTACAACGATAAGAACCGAGTAGGCCTTGAACTCGAAGCTGCCAAACCCGGCGGCTTTTGTCTCAATAGGGTCCGCTTAAGTCTTGAGATGTTGGGGTCGACTTGCATCACGATCCTACCGCTCAAGACAATTAGAGTTCGTCCTTATGCTCCTTCCGGCGGTTTTGTTTATGATTGAATGCGTTCAACCATTTCGGTCCTGGGGGTTCTTCTTGTCTGATTGGGCTTTATAGTTCGCGGGTTTGCCATCAAGGTGCTACGCTCGAGCCAGGGACTACATGCCTCTTTTGGAACCGGCTTGTTTCGAGGGCGACCAAATACAACCACGCGACAGAGTACCCGAAATCCCTATGATTCTAATCATACTCCCTTCTTCTTGAGGCGCTTAATATGAAAAGTTCCCTGTTGAAGTCCTTGCCAGGGTTGGGGGCCATCAGTCATGCAGGGCCCTACATTGCTACAATATGTGCTATCTTGAGATTTCAACCCTGGAGCTCCAAACCGTAGCCATTTTGGCTCGAAGCCAGCAGGTATTAGAAAATACTCTGGCGGTCGCCTGTGTGCCGCACACTTTTTGTGGTGTCCTTCATGATTGGCCAGGTTCAGTACTTCCCGTACTTGCTCCGAGATTCGCTTTGAGGAGGCGCTGCAGGTCAGCTGGCAACAGCCGGCGCAGCCAAGCACAAATTGCCATGGGTTGTCAGCTACATGAAGTACAAGTTACGATGCATGAAGTGCGCGGCGGGCCGTGGACACCACGATCCGGAATGCGAGTTTTTTCTCGAGGCTTGGGCGTCAGAACCGCCGATGATGAGCGAAAGGTGTGGCAAAGGGTTGGTGGTTTTCTCGCCTGCGACCACAAGATTGCAGACGCCTTCGGCAACAAGTTCGACGAGCTGAAATGCATTCACGTGAGCAGATTCCATGGGGAGCACCGAGGACAGCGGCTGTTTCCGGCTGCTCTGAGCACTCGCAACCACCATGCCCATCGGAAACGTCTTGCAACCACGTTCAGAGCTTCGGAAGCGCAAGCATGCCTCGCATCCCTGCGGAGGCTTCTTACCCAGAGTCCTTGTTACAGCAGTCTATAGCAGTCTGCTCGCAATTCGCAACCATCGTCCGCCTGGATGGTTGTCGCGTATAAGGCCTTCTTCTCCAGTGGGTTGGCGACCCAAGATGGCAGCCATCAGTCATCGAGCTCATGTCGTGCAAAACAGCGCGGGCTTCGCCTTGGGTAGGATCAGTCTGGCTCAGCTAGTATCCCCCAATGCAGCATTGACTTGGGAAAGACCTGTGTCGGGTGCCCCTGCCCTCTGTGGTCCTTGCTTCCACAGAAATTGGCAGCCAGCCTTGCAACAAAAACCGTGTGATTGTTGCGTGCCTTCGCCTCTGTCAGATGAGGCACGCCCTGGAATGACGATCAAGCTTCAAGGCAAAGTCTGTCGTCTCGCAAGGGGCGGCTTTCGTGTTGGTAAAGCCCGGCAATCGATGAAGCTGTGGCTGCGATGATTCGGCAAACCATGATATTTTGTTCAATGCCGCATGCTGCATCCTGGAGGACTTCTAACTGTCATGAAGTCCACTGCCACATCGCTATGAAGCGCTTAGGCGGTGTTTGTAGGTTCATGGCGTGGGGTCAGACCAAGTTCGGAGCTCCGGTGGTAGCTTGCTTTGGCAAGCCTGATGCTAGCATTGGGCAGCAGAGCAAGCTCGGGCGACCCACTTTCGAAGCCATCATGAGGCATGCCTCAGCTCCGTGTGTTTGAGTTTTTGGACGAGCAAGGAGGATCAGGTGGCTTCGGTCACATCGGAGAACAAGCTTTTGACCCTCGGGCACAACCAGCTGGTCTTCAAGGTCAAAGCAACGATGGGGAAAGTTGACTTGGAGTCCGAGCTCCGGCTTCTCCAGTCCCTGACTCAAGCGCGCGTTGGCTGCATATAAAGCTGGTTTGTTCAGCTTCACGACACCCGACGCCATTCACCAAGATTTCATGCGGAGCTTGAGCCGTCCGGCTCCGTACGGATTTGAGCCGCCATGCATTGCAGCAGTGATGCGAGCCGATCATGAGTTGTCGACGTCGGTTTCTCAGACGAAGCCTTGAGAAAGAACCTTTGAAGTTGCCTTGGAAGGAACACCTTAAACCCTATATAGACCCTAAACCTCTCAACTTCTCTCTGAGCTTCTAAACCTTAAAACTCCTAAACACCCAAAACCGTCAACTCCCAAAGCCCCTATACCCTCTGAAGCAAACCTCACCAGGAGGGCACTGCTGCCATCCATTGCAACGCGCTTGCGGTGCCAAAGGAGACGCGGAAGCGGCTGGAGGTGGCGCTGAAGGCCCAGCCCAGGGGGTAGTGAGGCTTACGAATTTGGAGTGGTTGGGGTTTTGGAGTTTAGGGTCTAGGGCTTGTGGTTTCGAGTTGATGGTTTAGGGTTTAGGGTGTATAGGGTTTTAGAGTTTACAATGCTAGGGGTTCGGCTGCGGATTTGGATGGTGAAGTCAAGGGGTTGTGGAAGTATGCTCTTGAAAGATAGTGGGCGGGTAGGAGTGAGGTACTTTGTTGCGGAGCGAAGCGGGGTAAGGTGTCCGAAGATGTTGCAAGTCGTGACGTTCAAGAGAGTGAAGCAACAGATTGGGGATTCTGGCTGACATGCTTTCTCCGAAGTGCAAAGGTGATGCTAGGAGGTTGGTTTTAAAGAAAACTCCAGAGAGCCTTCTTAAACCCAGCCCGAGGGCCCTGAACCTTAAACCCGTAAGCCCTAAAGCCTAGCCCCGAAACCCTCAAACCTCTAAACCCTGAACCCTTAATCATAGAGCCTGTTATAGCCTGTTGACACAGCCTTCCGGTATCTGCGCGAATGTGCGGCAGGTCCTGGCCTTCCTGGAGCAAGAGTTGATGAAAGGGAGAGACTTGACTCGAACTTTATTTAGATCATAACATATGACATATACATATGTGGAAATGTATGTATACATATGTATGTATGCAAAAATGTTGCAAACTATAAATATTACTTGCATATCGAAGTAAGTTGTAGGTGTATACATAATATGAAACGTATGATAGATTCGCAAAGGAATGCAAGCCTAGGTTGCTGTATTTGGCGAGCTTCGCATTGACCGGGGCTGGAACCAACAAATGAAGGCAACTGCCAGGAATCTTCTTCCGAAAGCAGCAACAGCAGCAGCACTAGCAGCACTGGAACGACGGCGATTTCTACTACCATGGCTACAACGACGACTTCCGTCTGAGGCTAATGCTCAAGCTTCCGCTGTTTTTGTGGTAGCGGTCATTGTGCGATGTCCAGCATTTCCGACTATGCTACACATCTTTCCGCCTGTGCTAGTCTGCTAGTATGCATGTGTTTCAAGCACGATCGCACACGTATAATGCTTGCTCATCCGAGGCAGAGGCTATTCAAGAATGGCACTGTCCATGGACATGGTTGTGGGTATCCTCGACGAGGTCTTCTGTGCATCGGTAGCTTCAAAACCAGTTTCTCTATCTGTGTGGTGTGTGGGTAGGTGGTATATTGCTCACACTCGTAGTACTGGCAAGGCCAAAAACGCCAACAAATCGCCAGCCCGAGCATCAGCCATCAGATCATGGTCATACTTACGAAGCCCTAAACCCCTAACCTTAAAACCTGAACCCTAAAAACACTGAACTCCCGAACCCCTAAGCCCTACGCCGCTAGAATTAACGTCTCCACACTCTGCTCACCTCCGCCGAGATGATGTCATGTTATCAACCGGACGTCTCAAACTTAGTCATCTCTTTCGGATGTGTAAGGTTTAGGGTTTAAGGCATATAGGGCTTTCGGGTTTAGGGTTTCCGGTTTAGGGTTTTTTAGGGTTTCGGGTTTTAGGGTTAGGGGACACGGAGCATTCGAACGGAGTTTGAAACTTTCAGCACTTTAGGCAACTGGGCATTCTCCCCATGTGCTTGGTGACAATACCCACGCAACGTAGGAACAAACCTAGTTTGCCAAATATCTGCCCACTGCTAACTTGACATGTAGGGCTTGGGGGTGCTGGGTTTAGTCATTTAGGCTGTAGCAGCCTGTGAATGTTCATTGCTTACCAGAAAGCACAACTGGCTCTTCCGCAACTAGTTTCATAAGTCAGTGGGTTGCTTGTGTGGGCTCCTAAATCAGGGATTAGGCTGTCGGGTTTGGAATTAAGGGTTTTAGTGTGTAGGGCTTGGGGTCGAGCGCTTCCTGTTTTTGGATCCATTTGCACGAACGCCCGGATCCTTTTAAGCCCAGATGCATGGCAGCTCGCTGCTAGCTGTGTCTTCCACAGTTTCGCAGCAAGACCTATTCGAGTTGCGGTTGGCACAGTTGTCCTGCTTGTAGCCCTTCTTGCAACTGACTTACCAAGTCCCGTCATACTCCAAAAGCTTCAGGCCTTCCTAAGCTCCATGAGCCCAGAATCGAATTGCAACGACAGGCCACCACAGACTGGCGAAGCTGCGACGCAGAGCACTCGGTGGACCCCTTGCGCGTGTCGCAACCGAAGGCGGGGGGCTTTGCCAGCCTCAGGGTTTGGGCTTTCGGTTTTAGGGTTTGGGATTTACGGTTTGGGATTTAGGGTTTAGGGTTTAGGGTTTATGGTTTGGAGTTTAGGGCTTCCTGTTTTGTGTAGAACGCCCCTTCGGCTGCGAGTGCATTATGGGACTAGTCAACAGCAGATCATCCGCAGAGACACAGCGAACTTCGTGTTCTGTTTAAGTTCCCTTGTGTCCATTTTGCTGTTGCAGGTTGTCGCAGGTGTTGGTTTTGGCATTTCGGAAGCTTGCTCCCGTCGCAAGTATTTTATTTTCGATCGTGAGCAGGGTAAGGCGATGTTTGTGCCGAAGGCCTGAGCTTCATGTGGGTAGTTCTCTAAAGTAGGGTCCGTTTTGGGGCCCTAAGAACAGTACGGCACCCTTATAAACAGGAACCTTAAAGTACACTAATTTCGATAAAGGCTCACATGGAAATCACATGCCATGCTGCATCCAAATCAACTGGCCAGAGAACTGTGAAGCCCCCTTTGTACCAATAACACCCACTCGAGATATCGGAACCCATGATCTCAGAGACTCCAAAACCCCTGAACCCAGGAATATATCTTAAATTATGATAGGAATTCCTAACACTAAGGCTCATGATATATTCCTTAATTAAGGGGTGTTGGAGTGTCTGGGATCGCAGCCCGAAGGCCATATTCAAGTCGAAGTCGTTCAGCTCATTTCGTAGACCTTCAAATTGAAGCCATGGCTCTAGATCCTAAATCCGCAACCTCTACACCCCAAACCCTGAACCCCCAAAACCCAAACAGACTTGCACTCTCTTCGACTCTCCCCATAATCCTAAACTGTCCCTGGGTTTGGGGTTTGGGTTTTCAGGCAATTTCGGTTTAGGGTTTCATGGATTTGCGGTTTAGGGTGTCAGTGATCTTCGGCTTGTATAGTTAGGGTCGCAGAACTGTTTTCTGGTCTATAGGTCCCTGTCGCCCAGGTGATCCAGTGCTCTCGAAGCGCACCCATGCAGGCGTTCTGTCGAGAGTTGCCGTGTGCAGCTCGCAACTTGGCAGCATGTATCCGGCTCCTGCTATATCCAAAGCAGGAGTAGTGTAGACACCTGAATAACTACAATAGTGGTAACTGGTAACTAATATCATTGCGTGGGGTTCCTGATGATATATATATATATATATAGTATAGTTCCAATTATGAAAGCCCCTACAGTACGATGATGACGGCGATGGTGGTTCGATGTAGTTTGGATGGTAAGGCCTTTAGTTTTTCTTTCCAGCAGCATTATCACTATTGCTTTCGCTGCTACTACCTCTCCTACTACGTCCGGTTGCGTCATCCAAAGCCCCATCGCCGTAAACCTTCATGTGTGGGTGCTTTGACGGTTTTTGGAGCTTCACGTTTGGGGTCTTACTGCTCTACCACTCAGAACAAGGGGCCCATATAGCAAGCATCCTCACAAGCACCCTGTTTGTGCTACCCCCCTTCCCCGTCCCCAGGGCCGGCCGAACATGCGCCAGGATTCTAAGATGGTCGCAGCAACCTGCAGTCCCTAATGGTTACCTGCCCTAAGGAACCTACCTTGCTAGGGCCACTTAATGTGATTTCTTTATATAAGTCCCTAAAAAGGTAGGCTATTTGGGGTTAAGGTAATGGTTAAGGTTTTGGATTTCAACTTTCGGATTTGGTCTAGGGCCTCTGCACATCCGGAGCAACTCAGGCAGCGCCAAGCACTTGTTCGAAGTGCTGACCACGGCTGCAGTGCTCCAATCAGTGGTCGTGAGGAAGAGCAGAGCTGTGCCTAATCTCAGGGAGTCGCAGCGAGCCAGTTTCTGCTTTTCTGAAGAATGTTGCATATTACATCCATAGTAGCATACGTGCACACATACATGCATGCATACGAATGTTTTGAAGCTTCTGCATCCCCACGGCGCTGCGTAGTGTAGCAACATACGAATGGCAGGCTTACGGCTGCATGATCTGCTTGCGATCCAGGACTTTAGGACATTGGGTCATTGGGTTCCTCTTGAGTTTCAAGTCTGTCCAGTCAATATGGAGACTTGCCAATATGCAGCCGGCTGCTTCGGCGTTGACACACATGTGTGGGCAGTTACAGCAGACAGCTTTGGAGGGAGATGTACAGCAGAATGATGTTGTTGCTATCCACCTCCCGTGAGCCGGGAGGTAGGTTTCAAGAATATCACGAGCGAGTCTCGAAACTCGATGATGCCGGACGTCACGATTTCATGGTGGCGTGGGAAGATGTTAAGAGCTTCACTGCACAGATTGCTCCTGCTACACCAGATCACCCGGTGGCACAGGACTGCTGGTGCGGGGTTGGTGCCAGTGTCGTTTTTCAATCGCTGCTCCAAACCCAGTTACTAAAAACCTGCGGCGCATACAGGCAGTACGTTTTATCCACCTCGTGATCTTTGCATGGTTATGAGTCTTTCGGGCGATGGAATCGCACGCGCTTGGAGCCCTGAACCCGAGCAGTTCCTTTGCGCATGGTTTTGTAATTACTTGGATCGGAGAGGGTTTTGGGATAGGGCCTGGGGTTTCATGATCATAAAGCTGAAGAGCCGGCATGAACCCGTATTTTTGCCGTGGAAGTGGGACCCTTATCACGCTGGAAATAGCTCGGGGCAGGATGTTTTATCAAGCGGTGTCTGTCCTTGTATATAGTCATGAGCCATGGTTGCACCGCGGCTCCGGATAGCAAGTCCGTTGCGAGAACGACGACAGGTTCGATAGAGTCCGTCTATTGTGTGTATAGGATGTAACTCAAATACACAGTACATTGAGTATGTGAGCACGGCTCGGAAGCTTCGAACACACCCTATCGTTTGTGCTGGGATTGCCGCGCTCATGCTCATGAATGCCGTGGCCCTTCAAGTAAAGCCGTGAGGGGCTTCGCCCAAGGATTGGCATCGAGATCTCGAGGGTTGGGTTGAGCATGATTGTTCTGACAGTCCTCCCCTAAACCCTAAACTCCCAAACGGTCCATATAACTATTATTGATTACAGCAGGTCCTCAGACAGTACAAGCAATCTATGATATGGCCCTTGTGGCACGTTTGACAGCCCAGCTTTCCCTGTCCCGAGAGCACAAAAACGTTTCGGGCAAAGGGTGTGGAATAGGTGCTTGAAGAGTTGCCATTGTATTCCTTGATGCTCCAGTTTATCAGTGTGGTATAAGATACTCAACAAACATCAGTCCAATCATGAAGGCTTCATTGTTTGTATTAATCCCGTCCTACCCCCACTCCTCATCAACAAAAAGCACTAGTCTAATCAACTTTATCAACTAAGGCTCTATCATTGAGTTTGAGCTTTCACTCTGTATCGAGCACGCTCCGACCGAGTCTTAAATTCTGTAGCTAAGACCTGGAAATAGGGCCGCGCGAATAGGGCCGTGCGCCTGCACAACTTGCCACGAAGTCTTCGAAGCTTCGTCTACATGTCCCGGAGGGTCCATGTCATACTGCCACGAGCACAGGGTAAGGTGTGAAGCAGAATTTTGCGACATCTTGGTAGCATGAACGGACGCTCTGGTCTCGGCAATGTGCCACCCAGAGAGCCCAATACCCCTTAAATAAGGAATATAGCTTAAATCACAAAATGAAGCCCTATATGAATTAGGCCATATTCCTTAATTAAGGGGTATTGGGCTCTCTGGGCACCTGATGGGGTTTCGTGGTTGGCCAAGGCTCATACTGCCAAACTGATGGCTTTTCAGCAGCCCACTTCCTCGAATTGGGGACAGGGTAGTTGGGATTTGGGTTCAAGTGTTACCGGGACCATCCTTGTCGGATAGGGATATGTGTTCCCGAATAACGGGTGGCGGATTTGGTTCGCTGATCCCTACATGACGCGGAACTTACCCCGAGGCTCTTATAGTACATGTGAGTTGTACACTCCGCAGACTGCAAGCCAACTGTTCTACGATCCTGGTCTGACAGGGTTGAGTCTTGAGGATGTCTTGAGGTCTGAGGGCGCTGAATCCTCAGGTTGTTATCCCACAGGGTCACAGATTGTTTAGCGCTTCGGGGGGTTCGGGGTTTTGAGGGTTTCGGGGTTTAGGGTTTGGGGTTCAGGGTTGAGGAGTATGGAGCGAATAACACAAGGCCTGCATCTTCCACGTTTCCTCCATCAACCACCCCTCGTAGACTCAAGAAGTACGCGGAAATGCATTTATGCTTTGAGACCATGCTGTGTGCGCGGCCGTCAATGCGAAAAGAGTCGATCCAACGCAAGACGCTGATTTGGACGGTCACCCCACAGTGTTGAATTCTCCAACGCTAAAGCCTAAACGATCAAGCCATGAAGCCAGCCCAAATCACGTGAACCCGGGACCCCCAGAGAGACAACAATGCCCACCACCTTGAACCCCTGAACCCCGAAGCTACGCTGCCTCGCTTGAAGCCGCCAGCGATGTGCAGCCTAGGAAACGACCCCTTCGCTCCCCACACTCCTATATTCCCCAAAGTCTGGCTCTGAATATAGAAGCCCCAATCGTTACCAATACTAATTAGGTCTTACTTGTTGTTTCTTATTGCTTTATCTATAGCACAACAAACCTCGGCACCCTAGTCTAATTGTTCAGGCTCCTATGTTACCTCCAAGCTTGGAACCCAAAGAGCCATAGCCCAAACGACTCCCTCGAAGCCTAAGCCCTCAAGATCTCGTGTGGTTTATTATCCAAGGTTCAAGTTTCGTGAAGACGAAAAGCAGACAGAAGCAGATCATCTAGTCCATATCCGTATCATGGTAGCTTGCAGTCTGCAGTATGTTCCCTGACAAACCCCAAGGCTCAAAATAGCCTAAATGTCCAACATATTCTGGTCTTTGGACCCAAAAGCCTTCAAATATGAGTCCTTGGAGCTCCAGGAAAATCCATAAATCCTCCTAAACCCTAAACCTTGAAGGCCCTAAACCCTTAACCGTCCAAAGATCTTGGAACCACGAAGTTCAAGCCTCAGCCGCCAGGCTCCTGTGAACCATGCTCGGCAGGACCTCTTCAACCGTGGGTCAATAGTCGTGTTAGGGGTTTAGGGGTTAGGGGTTGGAGGGTTTAGTGGGTTTAGGGGCTGTTAAGGCTTCGGGCTGTAGGGTTTCGGGGTTTAGGGGTTAGGAGTGTAATTAGGGGTTTAGGGCTTAGGGCCTATAGTTGCAGTGTAAAAAGCCAGACACTTCTGGTGAGGATTGTGCCGCGCGTGTCTTCCGCACGCTGGCGGAGGCCGTTCTCCTTCGTCAGCATGGACTGAATCTCGACGGGCTGCATAGGGTGGGGTCGGGATATGTCTTTCGAAGGTCCACCGAGGCACTCCCCTCCCCCCAAGCTACCCTGCCTTTTGGCTTGAATGAATACCCTCTACGAAACACCATAGGAGCTCGATCAGAGGGTTTGCCGGGATCCTGGTATCAATCAATCACATAGCTTGCTGGGTGTTGCAAGTGCGCATTGTTCAAACCACTGCCCACAACTTGAAATCAGTGCATGTGTTAGGACCACGCCCTTTCAATGTTCCAAATCTTTTAGATCCCTATATGGCTGAAGCCGTCAGCACCTTACCTCACACTGCACAGTCCCAGAACGATGAGACCGAATGCTTTTAGATTTTGAGCTACATGTTCTGTGAACCCAAAGTCCGGTGCAAAGCTACAGCCCCCAACTTGCGGGGGGTTCAAGCGCACTGCGAGTTGGATCAATGCAAGGCTTCAACTCCCAAAACCCGAAACCCTTCCTGGCTGTCCAAGCATCTCGGGACCTTCGGGCGCCGTGGAAAAGGAGCTCAAACAAAAAACCTAATTCCTGAACCCTAAGCACCTAAACCCCGAATAAACCCTAAACCCCTGAACCCTCAACACCCAAACTCTCAAGCCCAAAAGCCTGCAAAGTGTATAATGGGCACCAAAGCCCTGTTCTAATTATCAAGGGAGGCGTATTTATTTTTGGAATGATTTTTTCTTGTTTTGGGACTTTTTTGGTCTGTGTGCGTGCGCGTGCGGTTCTCCTCCCTTCCTGTCGGGCATGGCTTGAAGGCTTCTTGGTTTCCGCGGCTTCTTGGCTTTTCGATGCCCCCTCGACTTCTTCTAGTATCGTAACTTGGAGCATACTGCCCTCTGGTTTTGCACGGCTTGCTGGCTTTCTGGTTTCCTTGGCTTCTTGGCTTTCGGAGCATACTGCCTTCTAAGCTTCCTGGCATTTTGGTTTCCTAGGCTTCTTGGCTTTTCGGGCTCTCGGCTTTTTGATGGAGGGCGTATTTCTTCAATCCTTTTTTGTTTGTTTTGCTCCCCTTTTTTTCTGTCCCCTTGGTCTTCTAGGTCCTCTGGTCCGGTGCAGCCCCTGGTCCTCTGGGCCAGTTTTCAGGATGTATAGTAAGTATAGAAGGTTACAAATATACCTTTCGAAGCAAGGGTGAGCAGAGGTGGCTTTTTGTTTTTGTTCGGCCACTCGGCTTCTTGGCCTTTGGACTTCTTATAACTTCGCGTATTATAATATACTATGCTATATTAAATGATATATATATATATATATATATATACATATATATATATATATACATTGCAAAGTGCAGTATCTTCTAGTAAATTGTATTAGATTCTATCATATTATACCGTTCTGTATGATGTTATATGATACGACATTATATTATATCATATTAGATCATATTATGTAATATTTTTGCTGTATTCTATTAATAAACTAAGTTATACTATATTAAAGTATATGACAATGTATCATAGTATATCATATCACATTTGATTAATATATATTTCTATATATTTTCATTTATTCTGTCATGTTTTTATGTTATAATATGTGACATATTTAACTGTACTATACTGTGTTAGACTACATTATG